TTGCTATGTTCGCGAGTTGCTAGGTATTGCTCGGTATTTGCTCGGTATTGGCCGATTTTGCTCGGCAATAACGAGAAATACCATTGTGTGAAGGCCAATACCGAACAATACCGAGTTTTTCTCGGTATTGGTCTTCACAGAGCGATATTTTTCATTATTGACAAGCAATACCAAATAATACCTAGCAATACCGAGTAATATCTAGAGCAATACCGAGCAATACGCGAACATAGCAATCTCAGGTCAAGTCGTCGGGCCGCGTGGTATTAAGTAAGACCACGTGGCGACATATTATTGGCTTCTGAACGTAGAGCTACGTTAGGTCACCTGACCTAATAATTGTTCCTAAGATGGTTTGAATTTGCCTATATTAAAAAAGATGGTTATAGACTTAAAAATATGAGTAAATTTTTAAAATAATTACCTTTAATAATTTAATTAGCTATTAAATAAGCAAAAAATAAATGGGCCAAGTCGACTAGATCAACTTATAAAAACTTAAAAAAAGATTTTAGGAGAGAGAAATAATTTAAAAAAGATAAATTAAATGTGTAGATAGAGAAAAAATAGGAGAGAAATAAAAAAATTTAAAGCTATTTTTTTTTTCAAGTTGTGTTGGAGAGGAAGTACATCAGAATGCTTTTTTATTTTTTTATTAAAATCTTAAATGCCAATATTTTTTTTTCTTATTTTTTAATAAATAATTTAGAATAAAAAATTTTAATGTGTTTTTATTGATAGTGTATTATTATTATTATTTAAATTTATATTGTTTAAAGAAAATAATATTTTAAATAACTATTTATCTTATTTAAAAAATTACAAAAAATTACGTTATACCATTAAAGCCTATATTTAGTATTTCATTATAGTATTAATTCTGAAATCATTTTACTTAGTAATGAAAAAATAAAGTAAATTTTAAAATAATAATAATAATACATTATGAATAAAAACACATAAAAATATGTATATTAATTTAAATTGATTATGAATAAATTAAATTGTGAAATTTATTGACACATAATAACTAATAAAAAAATTTCAATGTAAGTTATTTATTAAAAAATTAGAAAAAATATTTGCATTTAACATTTTAATAAAAAAATAAAAGAATTCTGATGTACTCTAACATACATGAAAAGAAACAAAAATGGTTTTGATTTTTATTTATATCTTCTCTATTTATTTCTTATCTAACTTCTTTAGTTAATTTCATCGCCTGTTGAAATCTTTTTTTTTAATGCTTTTAGAAAACTGTGCCTAGTTCTAAATTTTTTTGTTGGTTTGTAGCTAATTAAATTTTAATGTAATTATTTAATTTTATCCTAAAAATATTGATTACAAATAATTAGAAATGATTTTTTTTATTGAATTTATTAAAGGATTTGACTCTAATAGAAATACAAAGACAATAACAATATTTTTTGTAGCCGACGCCACTCAGGGGATAAAGAACTTTACCGTCCTTGGTGCTTTTATTTAAAATATATTATAATTTACGGAGTTCAAAGCCATAAATTTTTTAAAAATATTTAAAAATTACACATCACTTTCTTATAAAAGTTTATTTCTTCATTAATTATCTTCTAATTTTTCATTCTCTTTTATAGTTTTATTATTATTTATTATTTTTTAAACTTATAATCATTTTCTCTTTTTTATATAGTAAACAAGCTTGGCTTGTGTTTTTGAATTTTAAGTTCACACTCAAATTATGATTACTCAAGCTCGACTCAACTCGCTCACAATCCTATATAAAATTATTGATTAAAATTTAAAAATGATCTAAATAAAAAATAAACTGAATTTGAACCTAACTTCAAAGCTCTAACCCTAATGATGAATGAGCGTTAAATTTTTAAATGAATCAGCAGAAGGAACATAATAAAAAAAAAGCATTTATTGTTCCAATCATGCAATGAAATTTAAGTCCTAACTATTATGAGAACATCATCGATGTTATGAGAACATCAATGCACAATTAATGCTTTTCTGGTTCTCCAAAGTTCAAAAACACCTAAAGCCTGACACCTTATTATTATTATTTATTTTAATTATTACAACTATTTTTAATAAAGCAATAAGAAATAATTTGTATAAATTTAATGCGATCAAATGTATGTTAAATTTATAAAAATACTGATAATAGCTACTTAAAATATATTCTCTCTAATTTAATTTAGAGTAAATGGCATAGCCTCTAATGATTGATATCATTATTCTCTACTTTTTGATAATTAAACGCAATATTATTAAACTCTTGGTTCTCTCCACTAATTTATATTTAATGAAAAATATTATATCAATATATTGATATAAATTATATTAGGATACATACAAAAGTTATTGTATTTACTATGAGATTAGTGTTGTATAGTGTTACACTAATTTTAGAATACAATCAATAAATTTTAAACCCATCTTAATATAATCTATATCAGAATGCCAGTATTGTACGGGAGCACACGTTCAACATTCAATAAATTTTAAACCCATCTTATTATATCAGAATGCCAGTATTGTACGGGACTAAAAAAAGGGAGCACATGTTCATCATAAATGAAGGTTACGGGCACCTCATAATTAAAGAATCAATTACTATCGAGCTTAGCAAGCTCCTCAGGCAGGTACAATGTTAAAAGTGTAATGACTTTCACTGATAAAATGTGTCACACGCTCAAATGTTTACTCATGTAACATCTCAGAATTAAATTTGAAAGAATTATATATTCATCATTTTAAGAATGTATCAGAGATTCTATAAAATCATCAATATAAATAATAACCAACAAAAACAACTAAAATCATATGCATCAAAATATTTTATTATTTAATCACCAAAAATATAATTTACACTAGCCATAAAATCAGTACAACCACTAATTTATCACAAGCCTTTGACTATAAAAAAATTAAAGAAAAAATACATATTAAAATCTAAAGAAAATCTGAGGATCTCTATCAACCTCCAGCTAGTCATGACCTGAAATCATTAAAATTTACAAAATATAATAAGCTCAAAAGTCCAGTAGTAATCCAAAACTCACTAAAGTTTTCAATGTAAGGACTAACGAATTAATATAATATGCTATGTCTAACATAATCAATAATATTCAATGTAGTTAATGATAAAATATTATTAATAAAACTCAAAATGATCAATAATAAAAACAATGAATCTAAAAATTAATAATCTATATAAAATTTAATAAATCGATAAAATAACAATGTAGAAATCATTCATAAATAACTAAAAAATATATCTTATATATTCATATACATCTTCTATTTATGTATTATCAATGCATCAAATATTGTTAATGATAATATTATACCTGTCAATGTCATCATTGCTATCAATATATGCATGCATCAACGTATGATTTAATAAGACATAACATTCAGCTTTAACATGATGTTTTCAACATCTTTTACCCAAACCGATTTTCAGTTAGTCAACAATCATATCAATTATCGCTTATCCAATTAATTAATTATCATTGTAAGTAACTATAAGTAAATAAAGAGTCATCACTTTCTGCTCGTCGGAGAATCGATCATTTGTTACATGCTACAATCAAATAACACTAAAAATCATCTTTAAAGAAAAGCCCGTTGGCCCACTCTCATGTACAAGTTATTATATTTAACTGCCAACCCATTTTATAATGTTAACAACCAATCTTTCTTTTTTATGCAAAAGCTACAATCAAAATGCAGTATGAAATAATCAATTCTATTCAATATAAGAAAATCTATATAATAATCAAAACCATTGAAAATTAAAATGATATTTGAGTTACTTATAACAATTAGATGAAATCTCTGAACAAAATTGATGAATGAAAAAGTTCCAATGATCTTCTCTCTCTTTACTTACAACCTTTAACCCAAAAGTGACTCGAAATTGGCCCATTTTTTACCCGAAAATCCATTTTGACCTGAAAATCGGAGATTGATCGTTTTTGCCCATTTTGACACGAAAAGTGGTGTTTGACCCATTTTGACCCGAAAACTACCAATTTTTTTACTATTCAAGGTCATTTTGGTCATGTCGGGTAAGCCGAACCCAAAGCAGGTCGGGTTTGGGTTTGAAAAATTGACCCATTTGCAAAAATAGGTCGGGTTCGGGTTGACGTACCTAAATAGTGCCGAGCCAATTTTGGATTCGACTCTAACCTGAATGTTTCCCGAAATTGACACCCATACTGAAATTTAATTATATATTGCATTTTAAAAAATCTTATTATTACAAATCACTTCCAAAATGTCAAAATCCTTCACCTCATGAACAATGTTCATGTAGGTCATAACATAAAGGCTAAAACTTGAAACTAAGTTGAATAGGAATTTGAGAATAAGAGGAAACATATATGCATAAAGTATTAAGGCAAATCTGATCAATAACTCAATACATATTTACTTACAATGCCTCCTAAGGGTGTAATTTTGTATATATCTGACATAATTTTCGGAGGGACATTTGATTCGTAATATATTCTCATATAATTTTTTCCTACTAGAATCCCAAATTCTTGAATTTAACTAAATTTTTAGTAGAATAATACAAATTCTACTAAAATTTGTGTAATTTGATTGTTTGAACTAATCCATGTCAATTGGTTTCTTAGATAAATTCATTTAAATATTTAATAGAGTTTCATTATCCTTAACCGCTCTAATAAATATCACTTCAGCTCTTTATCGGATTCTCATCATAAATAGTATAAATATGTCACATATTTATTATATTGATTAATTTATAAAATTTTCATTCTAAATAATGAGACATTCGAACGTAAGCATAAGATAATCAAATATGCAAGAAATTCTTAATAACTAACCTACTAAAGGTTATTAAAAATAATTAACACACATTAAAGCCGCTCCTCCCTTAATTCATACTAAGAGCCCTCAACACAATTTTTTTTTTATTCTTCATATCTTCACAAGCAATATACACACTTATTACAAGAGGTTAAAGCCTTCTTGTACCAGCTGTTATCTTACTTCACTCTCTTGACCATTTCCCATTCCTTCTTCCTCTCTTGGATTCTTCAGCCATAAAAGCCAACTAAAGCTACTTCCATCTCTCTCTCTCTCTCTCTCTCTCTCTCTCTCTCTCTCTCTGTTGGATATTACCTTCAACAAAAAACCATGGCTTCCCTACTTTTCAAGGATAAGAAAGGAGTAAATCTCTCCTGTGCTTCGCCAGCATCTGCCGCAGTATGCACAAGCCTTGAGCGCCGGTCGATGGTTCGTCCGAGTATCGGCCGAGCTGTTGACATCTACAGCAGAAATCCAAGAAGACCAAGAGCTTCAAAACACCAAAACGCCGTAAAGAACAAGTCAGATAGTCATAATAATCATGGCAGAAAGAGCAATGAAAAGCAAAAAAGTGCTGAGTTCGCTAGCCCTGCTGGCTCTTCTCGCTATCTTTTAAATGATAACTCCTCCTTTCATATAGTACCAGAGAGCGATAACTCCAAGGCTATAGTTCTTGCAGCTGAGAAGAAAAATACTGAGTCGGAAATCAGTAACCAGGAAGAAATAGAAGTTCTCAAAACTTGTTCTTCTGCAAGACAAGACCAGGTTTGTGGTTTAGTTGGTTTTGGAGTTATATATTTTCTTTTCTTTTTGAGAAATGTGTTGAGTTTTGTTATCTTTAATTGATTTTATATAAAGGTTGTGGTCTTGAGGGTTTCTCTTCATTGCAAAGGATGTGAAGGAAAAGTCATGGATCGTCCTGGACGATTTTACTTAAACGATCTGAAACGACCCTATTTGAATATGTGTACGAAATGTCTTCGTACAGCTGATCGTCCTGTACGAACTAGGTTCGTCCAGTACGAACGGTTATTACAAGGTCGGTTCTAGAAACTACTAAAAACTGTCCTAAGTCGGTTAATCGTTTGGACGAAAATTTATTCGTCTGGACAAAATTTTTACAGAGGACCGATCATCCTGGACGATTCTTTTACTTCGTCTGGACGAAAATTTTCCAGAGGACCAATCGCCACGGACGATAATTTAATTTCGTATGGACGAAAATTTTCCAGAGACCCGATCGTCCTGTACGATTTTTAATTTCGTCTGGATGAAATTCCAGAGAACCAGTCACCATGGACGATAATTTAAATTTCGTCTGGACAAAAATTTTACATAGAACCAATCATCCTGGACAATAATTTATTTCGTCCTGGATGAATAGGATTTAGAAAAAAAAATTTCGAGCAAGTTCCTATTCGTTTCATATTCTCTATAGGAGATAACTGTCTGATCGTCCTGTACGAACGTATATCATCATGTACGATCAATATAAATTTTATATGATCTCCTCATGTGTGTGTGTATGTTTTTATTCACTCAAGTTACAATCACTCCCTTTCAATTTTTATTTCAAAGAAAAGTGCAAGCTTCAAATATTACAGAGTATCTCATACTGAATTCAATTTGAAAAGAAAAGTGCAAGCTTCAAATTTTACAAAATATCGCATGCTGAATTTAATTTGAAGTCTTCGTAGTATGGAATTCATTTTTCCTGAAATGTCAGTACACACAAGAGCAAATATAATTCTTTTCCAAAATTGTCAGGAGATAACTACACATTTGAATAATAATGTTTGGAATCATCAAAACTTCTTAAGTTGCAAAAATGTAAAGCATGCAAATAGCAACTATCTTAACATCTTAATCTTTAAAGACGCAAAGCAAACTCGATCCAATTATAGAAACGAACACCTTGATTAAAAATTTTATGAAGTGGATTCATCAGCTTGCAAAATATTCCTATGAGATAGAAGAAATGAATGATGATAAAAAAATTTAACTTCAAAAGTCTAATTCTTAAATTGATATAGTTTTTTATTCAAAAAAGTGCAATATTCTGATTAAGGAAATGAGAAGTAGAGACATAATCATGAATTTTCTTCCTTCGATATTTTAGAAAAGTTAATCAAAATTTACTTAAAATTTTTAGGTAAAAAAAGAGATGTAAAATTTTCATTAAAAAAATTGAGCGAAGTGAATCTATGCTCTTATGCAAACATAATGTGAAAAGTTATTTGTGTGTTGATCAGAGATAAAACATAAAAAAATATTAATGAAAAATAAGATAAAATGATTGCAAATAAAAAAAAATAACACATAAAATATTTATAATTAACAAAATAAAACAAATAATATATACACTTGCATTAACTACAACACATAAATACAAAAAAAAAAAACTTTATACCTTATTATGTTGCTCCTGATCTGATGATTTAGAAATTAGATATACCTAGGAGTTATTTTGCTCTTAATCATTTACCCTTATTACATTTTACTTATTTTTATCATTTTTCTTTGTTGGAAGAGTTTTTAAATTAGGGCATTCATTTTTCATATGTCCGAGTTTCTTACATCAAAAGCAAATAATGTCAGAAAAAATTTTAACATTCTTACCAATTTTACCTTTGTTCCACTTTTGTTGATACTGATTTATGCTTCAGTAGTTTTTTAAATTTGCTTGTTATTGAGGATATCTTGTTTCTCTCATTATCTACTAAGTCATTCCTATTAATCTTTTTAGCTTTTAGCACTATTGTTTCACCAACATCCAAACATCTTTAACCCAAACTTTGATCGTAGGCAATGAGTGAGCCAATCAAATTATCAATAGGATATTCATTGAAATTTTTAATTCATAAATAGTAGTGATTTTAGTATCAAATTTATCATTAAGAGAATATAGAATTTTGTTAACCTTTTCAAAGTTTAAAAGTTTTCTACTAAAGCATGCAATGATGTCACAATCTGGGTAAACCTAGTATACGTATCTAAGATATTCTCATAAGGCTTAATGTGAAAAGGTTCATAGTCATGCAATAAAATATTTAACTCGGATTGCTTGACTTCACTAGTACCTTCGTATGTAGTACATAATTTATCCCAAATTTTCTTGCCAGTAGTGCATGTGTATACTAACATAAAATTTTTAAAATTTAAAGCACAAAAAAAATAGTTTAAAGATTTAGCATTCAAGTGAGCATTTATTTTTTCTACTATGCTCCATTCAATAAAAGGAATATCAGTTTTGACTCCATCTATAATACGTGATGGTACAAAATAATTAGTTTGAATCTTATGCCACATTCAAAAATCAATTAATTGCAAGAGAGCATACATGCAAATTTTCCAAAAATTAAAAAAATATTTTTAAATAAAGGTAGTCACATGATTAAATATCCTTTTGCAATGTTATGATTAAAAGAATCAACCATTAATTAAAATTCAAATGTTTTTTAAGACTTAATTTATGAATCTTGCTCTGGTACCACTTGAAAGTTTATGAGGTTTATTAAATCCAAAGGAATTAGTCTTGAGACTAACTAAGAAGGGGGTGAATTAGTATTTAAAAAACTTCTTTAATGATGAAAAAATATATTTTTATGACATGATACATAAATTAATTAAATTCATAATAAAAATATAAATTAATATTTTCACTCACACAGTTAATCGCAAGAAAAAAATAAATTAAAAAATAATAAAGACCAGATTTATAGTAGTTTGGTCCAACCTAACCTATGTCCACTCCTCGGAGGCACTCTCCAAGTATTGCACTAAACTATTAGTGACTCTCCTTTATCCCCCATAGCTAGGTGAAGAAGCCCTTACAAAATCACTTCTACCTTCCCCAGTGCGGCGGAGTATCCAGAACCTTTGAAACCAAAGAGATCTTTTTCTTCCCAAAGCTTCTCTTAAGACAAACCTTAAATCTGATGGTACTAAGGTACTAAAAGTACAAGATGCGCCAAGAGGGGGGTGATTTTTTTGCATTGTCAAGTCATCAATGCGATGTCGTCCTTATCCTTAGGTTGTGATAGATAACTCTCCGACTCCTCCACTTTCAATCCTATATTTAAAAATTTCTTTAATTAAAAGAAAAAAAAAACTTTTATAACTTGATGCGAAAGAAAATTAAATTCACAATAAAAAAAGATAAATTATTGATTTCACCCACATAGTTAATCGCAACCAAAATAAATGCAAAAATAAAGTATAAAAATAATAATGGAAATAAAAAATTAGATATATAGTGGTTCAATCAAACCTTGACCTTCATACACTCCCTGGAGGCACCCTATGAGTATTACACTGAACCTTCAGTGACTCTCTTTTAGCCCCAACAGCTAGTCGGAGAAGCCCTTACAAAATCACTTCCTTCTTCCTTGGTGCGACGGAGGAGCTGGGTCCTTTGATACCAAAGAGATCTTTTTCCTTTCAAAACATCCTTTAAGACAAATGTTGAATCTGATGGTACTAATATTCAAGCTTTCATGAGCAACCATGTGAAATCTCCTCTACGCTCCCTTGAAACCCTCTCCAAGGATCTTTTCCCTCTCAAACTCCTCCATTTCCTCTCTCCCTTTCAAGTTCTCTCTTTAAGTTTCTGCAGAAGAATGAAACCAAAATGACTGCCAAAGACTCTTACAAAGTCTTATGAGAAAGCTTAAATAGAGGGCTTAAAAAACCTAAAAAAATAATTCAGCCATCAATGATTGTACAGTACGATCTCAGGATCCTCCAGTATGATGTGCAAAATTTGACCTGTTAATATTATACGATCACAAGTTAGTGATGCAGGAATAGTTCAATTTTCCTGTTCGTACTATACAATTACCAGTTAGTACAGTATGATCAGTTCAATCAAAATATAGCTTGTCAAGGATAAAACATGTGATGACCAAATTTGTCTTTATTGATTGTGCAGTACGATCATTTCATACAATATGATCAGAATATTAAAATTTAACAGATTCAATTAACTAATCACATGATTAAATTAAGCAAAATTTTAAACATTGTATAATACGATCGGAATCATACAATACAATCAGAACAACTTTTTAAATTCAAAGTTTTGCTTAATTTAATGCATGTAAGGCCTTTTATTATAACAGATCATCCATTATAATGTAGTATTCATGCTGTACAATTAGTTATGTTTCAAAATATTTTTTTAGAAAAAATATAATATTTTAATTAATTTATGTAACTCCAGATTGTGCACTACAATCTATATCATACAATACGATGTACAAAAAATTAAAATATTTAAATTCATTTTTGCTCCTCCTACATGTGTGTGCACGGCCACTAAGCTAACATACATCACTAAAGAACTTGACTCAAGAAATGAAAATTATAGACTCATTTAACATAACTTATTCTACCTAATCTTGAGCTATGAATCTTCAAAAAATGATGCATAGTGTACCTGAAATATTAGTCAGCACACAAATCAATATACACTATAAGTATTAGGAGAAATAAAAATGCAATTAGTATTATTTGTTATCATTAAAATCATAAACTTAGAATCTTGAGTTGCAACAATCTCCCAATTTTTTATGATGATAAATAATATTGGTTGAATTCATAAACTAATAATTTTTCCTCCTAAACTCTCCCTCACTAAAAGAATTACATTAAAAACTAGGGGATTTTTTATTTTATTTTATTTTTAAAACATAAATTTTAAAGCTAAATAATAAAAAATTAAAAAAAAAACATAAATACAACAAATCATAATACATTCTCCCCCTTTGATATTATCAAAAAGAAGAGATAAAATAACACCTAAAATTAAAATACATATAGAAGAAAATAATAACATAATAATGAAACAAAAATATGAAATTATGCTTAAAATATAATAAAATTATAAAATATAAAATATATAAATAAACATATAATACACATAAACAAAACACACAAACAAACCTTTACATACTTATACCTCATAGTCCTTCTCTTATTCTGATGATTCAGAAGCTAGGTCTGCCCAAGAGATTTTTTATTTTTTATCTTTTTCTTATATTACAATCAGCTTATTTTTACTCTTTTCCCTTGCATAAAGTGTATTTTAGTTGGGGCATTCAAATTTCAGATGTTTGTGTTTTCTATACCCAAAGCAAATAATTTTAGAAGAAAGATTAACATTTTTATCATTTTTACCTTGGGATTACTTTTTTATGCTTATGCTTCTTCTTCAATAAACTTTTGAAATTATTTTTTATCCATGTTATCTCCTTACTCTCATCATCTACTAAGCCACATTCATCTGTATCTTTGGCTTTTAACACTATAGTCTTCTCATCACCTGCATCTAAAAATCTTTGACTCACACTTTGCTCGTAGGCAATGAGTGAGCCTAATGTATTGCTATAGAATAAACATTCAAGTCTTTTGATTCACATATAGCCGTAACTTTGAAATCAAATTTAGCAACTAGAGAACGTAGAATTTTGTTAATTTTTTTAAAGTTTAAAAGTTTTTTACCTAGAGTATGTATTGATGTCATAATTTGAGTAAACCAAATATACATATTTAAGATCGACTCATAAAATTTCATGCAAAAAAGTTAATAATTATGCATTAGAATATTCAACTTAGATTGCCTAACTTCATTAGTACATATGTATATAGTGCATAATCTATCTCAAATTTCTTTGTTGGTACTACATATAGAGATTTTTATGCAATCTTCAGAATTTAAAGCATAGAAAAAATAATTCAGGCATTTAACATTCAATTGAGCATTGATTTGTTCTATTCTACTTAATTCAAAAAAAGGAATATCATTTTTTACTCCATCTATAATATGTGATAGTATAGAATAGCCAGTTTAAATTATATACCACATTTGATAATCAATTGATTATAAGAAAGTAGACATGCAAAATTTTCAAAAATCAAATGAAAAAATTTTAAATAAAGGTGGCCATGTGATTGAATACCCTTCCATAATGTTACGATTTCCAAAATATATCATGGTCATTTTTCTCAAAGATTTCTAAAACACTATATTTGAGATCCTGCTCTAATACCAATTGAAAGTACAAGATGTGCCAAGAGGGGGGGGGGGGGGAATTGGATATTTAAAAACTTCTTTAACAAAAAGAAAAAAATAATTTTATAACTTGATGTGGAAGAGAATTAAATTCATAATAAAAAGATAAATTATTGATTTCACCCACGTAGTTAATCGCAACCAAAATAAATATGGAAATAAATAATAGAAATAATAAAGGAAAGAGCACGTCAGATTTATAGTGGTTCGATAAAACCTTGACCTATACCCACTCCTCGGAGGCACCCTCCGAATATTGCACTAAACCCTTAGTGACTCTCCTTTAGCACCCATAGCTAATCGGAGAAGCCCTTACAAATTTACTTCCACCTTCCCCGGTGTGGTGGAGGAGCTGGATCCTTTAACACCATAGAGATCTTCTTATTTCCAAAACTTCTCTCAAGATGAACCTTGAATCTGATCGTATTATGGTGTATGTTTTTTGGAGCAACCTTGTGAAATCTCCTCCACACTCCCTTGAAACACTATCCAAGAATCTTCTTCCGCTCAAACTCCACCCTTTACTCTCTCCCTTTCAAGTTCTCTCTTCAAGTTTCTATAGAAGAACATAACCATAATGGTTTCCAAAGACACTTACAAAGTCTTTTGAGAAAGCTTAAATAGAGGGCTAAAAAACCATAAAATTAATTCATCCTTCAACGATCATATAGTACGATATTAGGATCATCTAGTATGATGTGAAGAATTTGACCTATTAGTATTATGAGATCACTAGTTAGTAATGTATGAACAGTTTAATTTGAATGTTCATATTGTACGATCACTAGTTAGTACAATACAATCAATTCAATCAAAATGCAATTCATTCAGGATGAAATATGGGATGACCAAAATCGTCTCTATTGATCGTACAATACAATCCAATTCATACAGTACAATTAGAATATCAAAAATTAAGTATATTTAATTGACTAATAGTAAGATTCAATTATGTAAAGTTTTAAACATCGTATAGTACGATCATAATCGTAGTATAAACAACTTTTAAAATTCAAATTTTTGCATAATTCAATGGGTGGCGGGTTTTCTAATTATAATAGATCATCTAGTATGATGCGGTATTTATACTGTATGATTAATTATATTTCAAAATATTTTTTTAGAATAAATAAAATGTTTTAATTAATTTTTGTAACACCAGATTATATAATATAATCCATATTGTATAACAATATACAAAAAAAAATTAAAATATTTAAATTCTTTTTTGCTGCTCCTGTATGTCTGTGTATGGTCACCATGCTAACATGCATCATTAAAGGACTTGACTCAATAAATAAAAATTACAAAATTATTTAACATAATATATTCTACCCATTCTTGAGCCCTTAATCTCAAAGAATGGTGCATGGTGTACCTAAAATATTAGTCAATACACAAATAAATATGCACTATAAATACTAGGAGAAATAAAAAGGTAATCAATATTATTTTTTATCATCAAAATCATAAACTCAGAAGCCCGTGTTCCAATAGGTACAAGCTTGTTAAAGCAACTGTGTGAAATCCCCTCCACATTTTCTTGAAACCCCCTCCAAGGATCTTCTCCCTCTCAAACTCCACCATTTCCTCTCTCCCTTTCAAGTTCCCTCTTCATGTTTTATCTAGAAGAACAAAGATACAATGACTACCAAAGACACTTATAATGCCTTTGGAGAAAGCTTAAATAGAGGGCTTCAAAAACTCTAAAAATTCAATTCTAGCATCAAATATTATCATGTACAATCACATGATTGTCAAGTACAATGTGCAATATTTGACCTGATTGTCTTAGACGATCTTTGGATAGTCCAATACTATCAGTTAAACTTTGTACAGATCATCTAGTAAAAAATTGAGATAGTGTGGGATTATTAGTTATATCAAAATGCAGTTTGTCCAAGATGAAACATGGGACGACCAAAATTTGTCTTTCTTGATCGAACAATACGATCCAAATCATATAGTACAATCAAAATATCAAAATTAAGTAAATTCAATTAATTAATAACATGATTTTTATAGATCATCCAGTACGATGTAGATCATCCTAGACTATTAAAACAAAATATGAAATTCAAAATCTTCCTTAAATTATGATTGGCGGCTTTTTTTCATGATCATAACTGATTGTCCTAGATGATCCAAACTGTCCAGTATGATTCATTAGATGAAATGATCGTACAGTATTACTAAATTGTATAGTAAATTATTTCAAAAATTAAACTTCTGGTTTTGACTCAATCTCACTCCCCTAAGTGTGTGTGTGTGTATGGTCACCAAGTAAGCATACGCCCTTATAGGACTTAACTCAAGAAATAAATATATATTAATGAATATTACAAGTCATAACCTATTCTACCCAATCTTAAGCCTTAAATCTT